GGGAAATTAAGGAGAGGAGGCTGATACATGGGCAGCGAGATAGGGAAGGATGTTATAGGAGAGTGGGATATTAACTAACTCAGATCGACAACAGAAGAGTGGAGAGAGGTGAAATGTGGAGAAAACTGCGGGATAGGGACGGGTCATACAGAGGCAGGAAAGTAGGTCACATATGCGGGAAGGGGGATATAATGTAAGATATGGGGAGATAGTGACAGAGGAACTGCCAAAGCATCTGTTGATGGAGGGGGATGATGAAGGGAAGAGATTGGTGGCCAGATTCCGCTGTGGCTACGCGGAGAGAGGGAACAGGTACTGGGCGGACTATGTTTAGAGGTGGTGTAGGCTGTGTGAGAGGATTGGGAGACGCTGGAACACATGCTGAGAGGGTGTAGTGAGCTAAGGGAGGAGACGATGGACAGAAAGCAGATTTTGGGGGAAGAGAGTGAGGGCAAAAGATGGATGAGGGAGGTGATTGAGGCGAGTAGGTAAGGGCGTGGAGATGGGGGAGGAGGGTAGAGGGTTTGGGTGTATACATGTATTGTAAAATATTGTAAATTATGTATAAACTATAAAACGCTTATTATTATTTAAAAATGTCAACATAGGAATCGTATCTCAATTTTGGGATATCTGTACATTTTAATTTTATCGCAAATAAGACTCATTAAAAAATAACATAGATGTCCCAGACTTTTTCTGGAAGAATATGCCCCGAATGTTTATCGAATTCATTCCTTACTTTATGTACACAGTGTCGTAACTGCAAGAAATATCGATCAAAAGTTGGAATGAATTTTTAATGAAAAAATCTTAGTGGACTTTCCAATCTATATTAGAAATATTTTTGACGTTTAAATATCAGTGTTTTTCTTACTATTATTATTGTTTTTCAAATTAATTTTTGAATAAAGTTCTATCGCATTTACGCTCAAAATTTTAAATAAAATAATAATAATAGTAAGAAAACTACTGACATTTAAACGTCAAAAATATTTCTGACAAAGATTGCAAAGCCCACTAAGGTTTTTTCATTAAAAATTCAATCCAATTTTCGATTAACAACCCTACAGCTTAACAGTTAGTGTTTGCTTAATTATTTTTTTTCTCAGAAATTATTAAATTTTCGAAGAACTTCAGAGAGATAAAAAAGTTTTAGAATAGTTTTGCCTATCTAAATGAAATTTTTCCAATGCATTTATCATCTTCATAAAAAAAATCTAGGCATAAATTGAACGGGGGTGGTTACGTTTAGTAGTTTAGAAGGGTAGGTTGAAAGTACAAATAGCATCAAAACGTGCCCTATTATGAGTTAAACATATTCCCCAAATTTCATTTTCCTAGCGTTTATGGTTTTTGAGAAAAATAAGTTAAACCAAAATTTTCCGCCATTTTTGGAGGGGTGTAGCTTCTTAGGGGAGCCGAAGTCGCCCATGGTTCATATATGAAAGTACCCTTAAAATTCGCCAAAGAATCACCCCTTGAAGTTTGTTGCAGTCATTCAGATACACCTGTATATACCGCGTGATTCAGACCACCCGTACCAGGGATTTTTCTCAAAAACGCGATTACCTAAGAAGTTGCAATAAAATATATGATAATAAAATCGTATATGAAAAATCCAATGCACCAGTTTTTATCATGGTGATAACACCGGAAGCTGGTGGTAATGACATCAACTTAAAATTTTTCCAAGTTGTCATATGAATTAAGTTTTATCATAGAATAGATATTTTAAAAATAAACAACTTTTGCTTTAACTCTTCTTAGATTTAATGCAACGTTTAAGTGCTATTGATCATTGCAGTAATGATAACTAAACATGTATTATAAAAAATGCTGAAGTAATTAATTAAATAACAATCTGAACAAACAATAACAATGATTACACAATGATGAAACACCTATTCTACGATAAAACTTAATTCATATGACATTTTGGAAAATTTTTAAGTTGATGTCATTACCACCAACTTCCGGTGTTACCAGCGTGATAAAAACAGGTGCATCGAATTCTTCATATACGATTTTATTATCATATTTTCTATTACAACTTCTTCCAAATTGCAATCCCTGGTACGGGTGGTCTGAATCACCCGGTATATACAGGATGATTCAAAAAACCGCTGACAGACTTCTAGGGCAGGTAATACAACAAAAATTAAGATGAATAGTCTTAATATAGATGGGGTCCCAAATGCCTCCTTAACGGGATATAACGGGTCAAAGTTTCTTTAAAATTAAACATTATCTGCAATAAAAAGTCCTTTTTTAAAAATATTTTCAACACCACTGCTAATTTTGTCAAACTGGAAGTATTTTCGTGTAAAGTGATCATCTATCAATTGGTCTCTTTCAAAACTTTGAACAAAGCAATAGTTTTTTTAGAAAGAACACGTTTGTAGCAAATTTGTTAATTCAATCAAAAACTGTTCCTTTAATCAAAGTTTTGTAAGAGACCAATTGATAGATAATTGATCACTTTACACGAAAATACTGCCCGTTTGACAAAATTAGCAGTGGCGATGAAAATATTTTTAAAAAAGGGCTTTTTATTGCAGATAATGTTTAATTTTAAAGAATCTTTCACCCGCTATATCTCGTTAAGGAGGCATTTGCGACCCCATGTATATTAAGATATTCTGTATATATTCTGTATATGTATATTAAGATTTCTATAAAGTTTATAGAAATTGGTTTCATAACTTTACTTTTTATTATTGAAGATCATTATTGGTATATTATTTATTAGTTATATTATTATTACAATTATTTTGATTAACAAAATTGATCAACTTTTGTACTTGTTTCTGTTCCTTTGACATTGCATTCGGACTTGCTGGGTCAAAGGTTTGTATTGATAGATTTCGAATTAAGTTCGTGGCGCCCTTATTTAGATCAGAACCCTCCCTTCTTCACTGAGTTACCGGAGCCCGAACCTATCAATTTGTGTTTTGTTTTGAACGTTTGTTTTGAATTTTCGGCACTACACTACACTACGAGTACTTCTAAATAAATTGCACTTTTATGGAATAAAAGGTACATCCTATAAACTGATTGAATCTTACCTCTTCAATAGGTATCAGTCTGTCTACTGGAATGGAGAAATTTCCAATATGAAGAAATGCGGCTGCGGGGTCCCTCAAGAGTCTATCCTTGGCCCCTTACTTTTTATTATACATATATGTTAATGACTTGCCGACACGACGTTAGTAGTGCGAGACAGTACAGTGGAATTTATTAATAACAAAAGTACCGAAATTCTGCACATGGTGACTGATTGGATGAGCGCAAATAGATTGGTACTAAATAATGAGAAAACCCAATTTATGAAATTTTTTTCAACGAGATTAATCAAGCGTGAAGTTTTTGGGTTTGCATTTTGAATATCTTGAGGCCGCTAGGGCGGCTTACTTTTCGTGCTTTCACTCTGTTGCAGGCTACGGTATAGCAGTTTGGGGTTCTGCTCTACGTGTGGGAAGAGTGTTTCTTCTACAAAAACGGTGTGTACGTGCCCTTGGTAACCTTAAGACAAATGAGATTTGTAGGTTGTCGTTTCAAAGGCACTGTATACTTACTATACCTACCACCTATATCTTGGCGTGCTTGAACTATGTTCATAATCATAAGAGTGAGTTTACAACCAACTGCCAACTACATAGTTATAACACTCTCCATAAAGATCTTCTTGAGTTACCAACTCATAGATTAAATGTAACACAACAGGTTGTTCATTTTCAAGGTGCTAAATTATACAATAAATTGCCTAACAATTTCAAATTGTTAAATCCCCAGAAATTTAACTCAACTGTTAAAAGTATGTTAATATCAAAATGCTTGTATTCTCTCGAAGATTTTAATAACTGCGACCTTTGTACAGGGTGTCCCAATTTCGATGTCCGCATAGGCTATCTCCGAAACTAAAAGAGATAGAAAAAAGTAGCTTACATGTCATGATCTCGTTTTTCGAGAATATGCTAATGCCGAAAACTCCGAACAGCTATCGTCATAGTATGTACGTATGGTTATCACCATAGCAACATTAACTTTTAAATGCATACATTAGTTTTAGATAGAACAAAATGAATTTTTGTTAATTATTCAATAACTATAAGAAATATACCCCTCAAACAATATATATTTGCTATGAGAAGAAAATAACAAATTATTTTAGGTCATAGTCAACTATGGTTTCTGTTATATAGGCAACACAATATACTAATGTGAGTATAAAGAATAGAGGTTAAGTTCAATGTAGACGGTTGTAAAAGAAGAACCAGTTGTGATTTCAGTAATAAAGTGAACACCAATAGATAGAGAGTGTCGTTATTACCCAACTATAAAAGAACAGTTTCCATTTAAAAAAATAAAGTTACGTCTAAAATCTCGAAAATAAAAGATGGGAAAAAAATTCTTCCTACGCCACTGAATTCTTCGTAAAAAGTTGCCCATATAATGTTTTATTTATAATACTCCATATATAATACTCCATCGTTGATAATAAGTGAGATATTCGCGAATGTCTCACGAAAAACGAGATCATGACATGTAAGTTACTTTTTTTTAAAATTACTTAAATGTGGCGAAATTGTGTCTGTAATTTATTCGCTTACTTTTATAATATAAGAGTAACTTTATGTAATAAAGTAAATAATAAAAATAATATAATAATAAAATATATAATATATATTATATATATATAATATTCAGTATTTGAAAAAATACAAAATACTGAATAGTCAACTTCTAAAATACTTAACTCTTTATAACTCAAAAACCGTGATGACTAGAAAAATTCTACGTGCACCATTGGATTCTACGTGAAAAAATCTATTAGAACCCGTTTTTACGTTTCCGGATAGCCGATATACAGGAGGTGTCTGAAAATCGTAAATTTTGAAACACTCCCTGTATATCAAAAACGAAGAGGGCTATGAAAATTTGGTTTGTGCCATTGTAAGTTTCACAAAAAAGCAGCTCAGGTTCGCGAAAGCCCCAAATTTCTCTCTTTCATAATAACTGAGATACCCTGCAAACCCATCGAAATTTCGACACGCTGTACACTTCTCTCTTATACATGTTGGTTTGTGACGACAATAATTTTTTTGGTTATCGTTAAAAATTGGAATAAATTGATGCAAATTTGAACAAGAATTGACATAAAAATGGAATATAGAGGTTATGGTTTTCAGACAAAATAAAAAGAGAATCTTTGGATTATTACAATTTTTGTGCTATTTGGAGCTGTTTGTAAATTATTGTGTAGTATTGCCGAAAAAATGTTATACAGGTTTTTTTAAGTAGTGGAACATTCATTTTCTGTAGGTTACGCTTATCTTGAAATTCGTTCCAAGTAATGGATTAGAGGCTGATAATGAATTTCTAAGAACTATAAATCAAATACACCTTGTCACGCCTGAAATCGTTAGCGTTGATATCTACATTGAAAATCCACACAAACAAGGACAATCCCAATTCCTCAACTTTTCCAACCCAAGTGTTGTTGCCGCAGGTAAAAAAAATTATTAAAATTATTATTTCCAATTTATTTTATTTAAAGGCGCCACCTCGTTAATCCTGCGACACCCACTAACGAGGAAGTGACGATGTGTGTGAAATAGGATTAAGGTAGGTTGAGGAGATACTCATTCACAAAATACACAAAAAAAAAATTTTAAGGCAAAGCTCGATATAATAAAAAAAAAAATACAATTCAACAACAAAAAGAAAATTTCAAAACGATCAGTAATATTTAAAAAAAAAAAGCATAAAACGTAAACCCTTTAAAAGAAAAATAAAATAAGATTGTAAGTACGCGCAATTCCCCGAAAACAAAGAGCTCAGTGTTGACGAACAAATTGATCACTTTCCAACTCAGAAAAGTGTCAAACAATCAAATCTTTTACAAAAAAAATAAGATAACTGAAATTATATATGTTTATATATACTGATGTTAAATGAAATGAAATTATAAATGAATATGGAAAAGTTAACAACACTCTGAGCTTTTTTTTTTTTTCGTTTTATCAAAAACTAAGTTGAGAGTTCCTTTTCCAAAAGTACATGAAAATTTCCAGTGGACGCCGTCAGGTTGGTGGTCGAAAAGGTAAGGATGGATGCTGTTATTCCAAAAATAACTTTCTCCAAAAAAAAATTCTCAAACACCTTTCTGTTTCAGGTTTTTCAAAATTCCAAAATGGCTGTGGATGGATACCACGATTCGTCGTGTCAAAAATTTCGATATAAATCGACAATATATAACGGCTCAAATTATTGTTGACCGTACACCTGCCGCCTAAATTTTTTTTTATAAATGTATTAATTTTTTTTTAATTGTAAAGTAGAATAATTTTTAATTTGTGAAAGAATAAAATACTACATAACTGAAGAATTGAACATTAGTTTTAATATTAGAAACATTAGATTACTAAAATAATTAACTCAAAAAAAAAAATAGATAACTTCGGTACTAGCTTACCTCACAACGTTACGAGGCTAAAATACAGCCGAATTAAAGATTAATACTGGGTTTTTTTCTACTCCGGGAAATCCCGATCGTAATTAAATACTTTGTCGATGTTTGGTGAATAACTCCGCCAAAAGCGTAATTTTGTCTACGACCCAAACCAATTACCAAAATTTTATCTTCAAAAATGTCGTTTCAGGACAAAAATGCTTCACCATACATTAAACGCGTGAGACTGTCTAGTGCAAGTGACCGAGTTAAAAATGCGGAAAACGCTTAAATACCCGTTTCCAAAAATCCGCAAAAAAATTTATATCGCGTCCGAGTTTCCGACTCCGAGTTCAAATCAATTTCGGTAAACGATTAAATAAGGTGAATCACCTCATCCGATACAAAGCCCAAATTCAAAAAAAAAAGAAAAACTTGAAGAGTTAATTCAAAACTGTTAAAATTTTACTATAATATTAATTTAAAGCAATGGAAATACAGTGAAGACCGGTTATAACGAGCAGTCAAGGGACCGAAAAAATTGCTCGCTATAGACGGTACCTCGTTATAACCAAGGTTGTCGTAATATGTAACATAAATTTTAATACTTGTGCAAAAAGTAGTAACCAGCAATTTTAAGAACGACTTAAAAAAATCTTTTTGTTTTTGCACTTTTACAATGAAATTTTTGTTTATTCACTATCAGAAATTAATCACTATGAGAACTTTTGTTTGCTTTAAAAGTATATGATTGAAAAGGTAAAAACAAAAAAATACATTATCATGTTTTTGTCATTTTTCATAACATTATTGTTTAAGACAGATACAACTACCTAATAGACTAAAACTAATTAACTAAACATCTATACTATTATACATCTAAAATTAATTTTTATTGAAATATTCTCGGATGTTTTTCTGTTTTATGCTTTTATGTAATAATTCCTGGCAAATATTTTTGTTTATTGTATCGCATGCGAACATACATTCAGTATTGTCCGCATAGTTGGTTGCAATGTAACGTGTCACCCTAGAAAATGCTTCTAAAAATTCATTTTTTGATATGTTTCGTTCTACCTCTTCATCTGATTCACCGTCAGATTCATTATCTTTATTCAACACGTTAGACATTATTTCAGTGTCAGATAGAATGGAACCAGTAGTAACATCGTCATCGATAGTGGCAAATAAATTTAAATCGATACCGTCTATTTCCAAACCGTTTTTCTCTGCCCAACTAGAAAGATTTTCTTCCACAGAGATACGCGTAATTAATTGAGCTAAGGGAATTTCATATTCCTCGCTAAAACTCTCTGCAAGATTGCCGAATGCATGACGAAAGCAATTCATTATTGTTTCTTTTTTAACATTTATCCATGCGCTGTTTAGCATTATTATGGCATCTAAAATATCGATTTTTAATTTTTCGTTCAGATCCATAGCTTCTACTAACTTGAACAATAACTTTTGTCGGTAAAACGTTTTCATTGATTTAATTATGCCTCGGTCCATCGGTTGTAAGACGGAAGTTGAATTTCGCGGAAAGTACGCAAGTTCAATACATTCTAAGTTGTTAATATGAGGATTTTTGTAACGACATATAGGTACAAGTTCACGTAAATCTAGCGATAAACTGAACTGCCCATGGTGCCTAAATGGCGCGTCACGACGTCGCCAGATTTTTACGTCATTCGCTCGTTATAGACGGTACAAAACACGCAAAACTACAACCGAGCTCTCGTTATAACCGAACTCTCGTTATAACCGAGCTCGCGTTATAACCGAGATTTTTTACATTGTAAGGATAGGATTTTTCACGGGACTTGGAAGCTTGCTCATTATAGAGCAGGTGCCCGTTATAAAGCATACTCGTTATAACCGGTCTTTACTGTACGAATTTAATTCCGCCCTCTATGAATTAAAGATTAAAACAAAAAAAAAGACAACGAAAAGGATTTACGGGAAAGGAAATCTTCAAACCACTTCAATCCTCTGGCGTCACCTTCTGAAACACGAACCAAAACAAAACAAACAAAAATATAAATATTTTTTGAGGTAAAACTGATTTACTTTTAATTTGTGAATGTGAATTAATTTAACAGAAATAATTATTAATAGTGAATAAGCATGTTTAGTACATTTACGTGGAATTACATGGATTCATTTATTTTAGTGATTAGTATTAGTTTATCGATTTCAACAAGTTTTAACACATAATGCTACAATCAAATGTAAACAAGCATACAATAAATTAAAATCGTTAATTGAAAAAATATATGATTTTAGATGCCTGGCATTAACACGTGGAAAGAAATTCGCGAGGACTACAGCAATCTAAGCGTCTATGCAAAAAGATCGCTTTTTTATAGGCGATTTAATCCTATTATCATTTGCAACTAATGTTTTTGTTATTCTTGTTCAACTTCTTAACACTTTAGAAATAAAAACCAACAACGATGCAATCTAAAGAATGTATTTCATTTGTTCCTTTGGGTTTTTATAGCCGATGAGTCATTATTAACCGGCGTCCCGGAAACAAGCCGTATTCATAAATAAGTTCAGTTGTATCGCAAAACCTCGAGCCGACCATATGTATTTCGTTGTATCTTAAATATGTTTACTTTATGAATACAGGTCTTTACGTCGACGAAAAAGTTAACTCATATATAGTAATGTAAATATCGCACTTTATCTCTAACCATTCATAATAATCTTAATCATTAAATTAATATTTATTTGGTTATTTCTTTTCATCTCAATTTTAATATAATTGAAATAAAACTATGTGTATTTATAGATGGATGGTTTTTTTAATTTTCGGCTCTACCGGTTTCGATTGTTACATTCAATCATCTTCAGGAGCTACGTCATTAAACATATTTTTAAAAACATAACTTGTTTATTATTTAAGCTGTTATCTTCTTGATCTTGATTACTTACTTCTTCTTTTCTTTGTTACCTTGTTATTTACTCAATAAGCTTTCCTTGCAGCACTATACGCAATGTGTTTCTTTTCGTTCAATTACATTAAATTAATGTTGTTTTCTTTGAAAGCTATACAAATAATAATACAATCAGTAATAGCAAATTTGGTAACTATTTAGTTACAAAACAATTGAATTAGTAAAGATAACGAACTATTTCGTGCCAAACCTAATCCAAACCCAAGGACTGTAATCTAAGATGTAAATAAATAATAAATCTAACAAACTTTTATGTCGATGATAAAGATCACTCATAAGGTAGCAAACGTGGCATGAATGCGCACAGCGTGAGCGCAGCAGCAAAACTGAGGACGCCATATAAGGCACAGTATAAAGTTAATTCACTTTATTGGTATAAGGCAAGTGAGACTACTGATTTACTTTATACTGTGCCAGAACGGAACCGTACTAGTGTATACTACGTCACACCACGTACCACGCCCAGCCAGTTTGTTGTGTGCTTTTAGACTAACTAAAGCGAATTTATTTTGGAGTGGCTTTAACATTTATCACAAGTAGGTTTCATGAATTAAAATTGATATTTATATACAGGGTGTTAATGAACGACGTGCATTTTTTATTAGAATTTTTCTCCTATTTTGTCGAGTACTACCGCCCGCGCCCCCTGAAATATCTGCACGTCGTTCATTAACACCCTGTACACTCATAATTGTATAATATTTTACGGTATAATTCAAAAATCGTCTTATCGCTTAAAAATGTACAATTTTTTTTTTAATCGATGGGAAATCATTCAAATAGGTTGCTAGAAATAAAAAAAATGCGTGGAAAAGTGTAAAACTTCCGGAAAAATCACTTTAAAGTTTCGATGTAACGTCATTTTTTGTGACATCATCAACCATGCTAACCATACATTTTCGCAACACCACCGGTAATTACAATCCTATCTTATTTTATTTTCACAATTAAGCACATTAATCCGATAAAATTAAATAATTTTTATAAAATTTATGAAAGAATTAACAATTAGGTTTTGTTACAAAACATACAATGTGTTAATTAATTATTGTACCCGACGTCATCACTGCAAGTATGCAACCAATATCACAGTATACGCGATTTACGTATTGCAACACCAATATTGGTTGCATACTTACAATGATGACGTCGGGTACGATAATTAATTAAATCATTTCAAATCGCCGACACCCGATACGCGATTTAGTATTAAGTTTCTTTTTGTGTAATAGTAATTTAAAATAATTTTGAAGAAACAAGATTCTTATAAAAACATACTGATTTATTTTAAAATTTTTTATAGAAATTAGATTTTGAGTTAGGTTAATTAACATTTAAACTGGTGCGAATTCCTCAAATGTCGGGTTAGGTTTGGAGCAGGGGGTGGGTTAAAAATGCCAGGTTGGAGGGTCCGTTGAAAAAAAAACGTTAAACGGGTCGATCAATTCGCCCTGTGTTAACAAGGGCAGACCCACAAAATCTAATATTTGTTAAATATACTAAAACATCCCACCTATGGAATAGCGTGGTCACATTTATTTGCTCTGACTCAGAGCTGGGACGGGTACAGGAAAAAAGTATTCGAGTATTCGGATACCGGATACATACAATGTATCCGGATACTTTCTTAAAAATGTGGGGATACTTTCTCCATAAAAGTATTCGAATACATGTATCCGGCAATTTTCGGAATAAGTTCCTTGAATTTTTTCTAGAAGGGGAAATTTAGTGTACAAATTCTAGTCGGAGAGAGAGCCCTTGATTTTCCCACAATAATAAAAGAGAAGAACAACTAACTTCCAACATGTTACATGCCAACATGCCACAATTATTGATGTAGTCATAAAAGATG